TAGCGTTGAGCAACAAAAATGTAAACGAAACTCCGATACAATGGCATTACCAGAAAAACAAGTCAGAAAAGCTTTCATATGAAAATGAAAATTTCTTTTTCAAATTCTTGAATTAGAAGCCGCTCTTGAACTGTTGTTCGAAATTGAATTGTTTCTATTGAAATTCTAATCTAACACAATAATTGTTAATTTGGAAAAAGTGCATAGTACACAATTTAATCCATTGCAGCAATGATAATCCTACCTCTAGAAAATATGACTAAAGAAAAAATCAATATTTTTAATATTGAAGAATTCTGACAGAAGGTTCTGTATAATTTGATAATTTTATTTTAGAGGTAAAACACTGTCAAAATGCATGTCTTCTTCTCAATTTGTTTTTATAAACAAAACTTCATTCTAGGTGTTTTTCATACTAAAAAAGCTTTGCTGTGATAAATGGCAAACGTGTCTACGGTTCACTTCATTTACCTCTGAACCTATTTTTTATGCAAAATTTTTTTTCTATCGGTCAACAGTGCATGAAATCGCATATGTTTTTACACGTGTCATATCAGGAAAAAGAAAATAAAACAGAATGCTTATTAGTTTTTATTTCAACAGATAAATGAGACATTCAGATCACAACTTTTCGAAGTCAATATAAAGCCAATATCGGAGCAATATGCAGTTGGTTAGGGCAACATATTATCAGCAGAAATGAAATTTAATATTAGATAGAAATAGTTTATTAATTGCATTTAAGTTTGCTATTGTCTCTTTCACTAGGACGAACAAAAATTGGTATCACGTTCTTTGTTTCATTAGTTAACATATAAGAAGCGATATGGTCAACACTCTTTTATTAGCTAGGATTACATGTATTATTAGAGATGTAAACCAATCGAAATACATACGAGAATTTAAAAATCTTTCGATACCTGAGATCAATTTTCAGGAATGCTCATACATAATTTCTCATTATCATGATTTCTAGAATTATATTGTCCTGTTTTCATTTTCAATAGGCTAGAATTTTTATTTTTCAAGAATAGGTTTTTTCAAAAATTGAAATGCATCAATGATCATCAATTTTGCGTTCTATCGACTATTTTTTACTACTTTGAACAACAGTACTTTTTCTAACAAACTAAAAACCTGTTAGTGCAACCCTTGTAGGATTAAAATGTGAACGACATAACTGCTCTTGGTAACCACAGAGATCTTGCTCTATTCTTCAACACTTCTTTCATTAATTACTTATTAAGCGGTCATCAAGGAGTCATTTATAAGATATTCATGAACTATTAATTGAATACCTGTATTAACTAGATATGTCTGTCACGGTCTGTAGAAGAGGAAAAGATGTAGGTTCAAATGTCGACTCCATATATTTCAACATTTCTTTTAAATCGCGTTCCAACGTGTGTGGGTATCGTCGTATATATATACTATATACAAGACGGTGAGAAGAATCACACTCATCAAACCATTCAACCACATCACACAGTAACACTTACTGCGAAAATATTGCGAATGCTGTCTATACCTCGAGGTTTTGCTTATGTGAACATACATCAGACACAGAGCGATATCTCATACATATGGTTTACAGGACCATGCACTCACAGCTGTCACGAGTCGAATGCTCCAAATGAGAGCCTCAATCAACATGCTTTTCGAGAGTCAAATTCAAATATCACTTCACACTTGAATTCACCAACACACGTCACACCCATACGATGGTGTTCGGGTTATGGGTTAGTGTCGTTGTGTATATAGCTATGTGCTCTTCATACCAGCCCATGGACACTAATGATAGCTGTTTTTATACTTGTCGTAAAAGATTCAGAAAGGGTTGTTGCTTTGATTCTCTCAACTTTGGTTGAAAGTAAAAATGTTGAAAACTGAGGTGGACACATCGGAACATTTCTTGTTGGGACAATTAAAAAAGGAAGCAGCTGCATTTCAATCAAATATTTATTATATAAAAAGAAAGAATGATATAGAAGGAAAAGGTTTTATATAACGTACACATTCACACGCTCCCGGTGGTTGAATGCGTTGCATTTCTTCATATCTTCGTCACGAGATGGCTTCATCGCTAGATTTCGTTTGATACTATTTATTGGCATGAAATCTTTATTATAATAATCTGATTATTGAACCACGGACTGAATTCGCAGATGTGATTGGCCGTACGAATGAATTCTTTTGGTCTTTTCTGACATGATGTCTAAAGTCTTTACTACTTTGTTCAAGGAATCGGTCAAACGATCGTTTTCCTGCAGTGGTACTCTGGAACTCATCACGCCTATTCTGTACGTCAACATGACGAAATGCAAATTCGAGCACAACTATGTTTACATGGTGAGTCTCGAACATAAGCTTTGCTTAGACAATTTTTATCGTGAAATTTAAACGAATCGATGTATGCTAATTGGGGGCTCAATTGGATTAACGTCGAAAATCTTAGCTAACGACAGTTCATATAACTTACATTGACACTGAGACATTGGTGAAATTACAGTTGCTCTACTCCTCCGAGCTATGTTGGTTGAGATTATATTGAATCTGAAAGAATTCAAATACAGTCCAGTTGGTTCGAGCAATAAAATAATCTCACCCATATCCACGTACTCACACCCACACCCACACCCTTGAGGTTCCTGTTTTCATTCTTTGCCTGATCAAAGACAAGCTATACTGTTGAAAAACAACACTAGAAGGGTCTCATGTTTTATTCATCGTTATTTAGTTTTGCTCTTGTTTGTTTTCAATGAGCAGAAGCACAAGAAAAAAATGTTTCTGTTTTTACTTTAGTGAAAGAGTTAGTTGTACTTGTTGTTTTGTAGAGCTGACGTATATGTTCGAAGAAAATAGTGAGTATTAGTTTTAAGTCGAAGTTTTCTGGCCTCCTATGTCCATCCTCATCTTCCCCATTGGAGACTTAACAATTGAGGGGTTAAGGGCGCTGAGCAACATCCACAGCAAAGCTCAGAAGGTTCTTGAACATTTCCGAACCTTTCTTGAAATTTGAATGGCTAGAATACGTTTTTTCATACTCTAAGTAACTCATTTTCTGACTTTTACGTATATAAAAATTAACGTTCAAGATATTCACCATCATGAATAGTAATGCAGTAATCTTGGCACAGTATTTATATGATGAACATAAAAAGCGTCAATTGATCAAATTATAGCTTTTGAAAATAATCGATATCAGTGTTTCTGATCTAATCGAAATATATTATAGTGCTTTAAAACTTGCCGACTGTAGATATAATGGATATTTGCAGCAGCCTTATCTGTCCTCTAATTCAATGCTTATAATAAAAAAAAATTTGAAATTAAGTATATCTTTTCCTCTTTCCTCACTCAAATGTTTGTGTTTTTCCTTTATTGGTTTTTTTTGTGACCTTTGTATAGTTTCAAGTAGTATCTATCTATTGAGTACACTTCGGGACCTAAACATTGTCTTTAAACATTAAAAAAAGTGAGAAAAAAATCAAATGTACATAATGAAAACACCGACAACTATATACTTTTTCAGATGGGTATTTTTTTTCACTTTAAAAAATATTTCTCTGCTGATTTTCCGAAGCTCATACAAAAAAAAGCTGTGCTCAAAACAAGCATGCGTCTTTATGGTACCTTCGATATTATGGACTTTTTATTCGAAGGAGAAAAAATTGAAAAAAAATCTAAAAAGAATACTACTCTCAACGAGTGTCTAGCATATGCAAAAAAGATTTTCAGCTCGATCGAGCATAGAATCTTGATTAAACGAGGCTCCATGATAAATTTATTCCACTCATCAAGATCTACCCACCCTGAAAATTTCAAATGTTTCTGATGAGCCATTCTCCAAAAACCTCGGAAAGGGAAGAAATGCCCCCTTAAGAAAGCCGAAATACAATAATGAAATTTGCTGACAATCGATCATCGTTGGAAAAGAGCTATCGTGTTTTAGAGATTTTACACTTTGTGTATTATGTATTAGTACAATAAAAGTGAAGAAGACATATGAGTTCCACATTTCAGTCCTAAATGGGGTGCGCTAAAAAGCTTTTCTCTCGGGACGGTGGACTGAGAATACTATAAGATTATACTCAAGTATTTCGAATTTGCAGTATACTGTCGACAAAATAATTTTGTTCAGTAGATATACTTAATAGCGAACAAAAACAAAATGCCTTCCCACTATTTTCACTGTTTCTTCTCCGCAATACACTTGATCATATTAATTTTCACTGGAAAATTCAGCGTTTCATTATCGAGAAAAAATCTACGTTTTATTTTGTACAACAATCTGAGGATAAGCAAAATGACCTGAAACATTGCGTAAAATACTAAAATGGCGTTAAAAAACAAGGAAGATAACTATCTTGTAGATCTTAAAACGCTTTTTCTTTTAGGTTTAGTTTTAAAAAGTCTTCAGTTAAATTTCATACCGTTAGCAATATTATCTTTTCTTACAATGTTCTTCAACAATATTGATTTTTTGCGAAGAATGTATATCTTTCAACAAAACAATTGAGCCTGATTCAAACATTGCCCGTCTAAATTGTATGAGTTTGGATTTTACTAATCAATCATTATGATGGAGTTCTTCCAATTTGAAAAACAAAGGAATTTTCTTTTGTACAGATGCGTAAAATAAATTACAATTTACGTTTTCATTCGACGATTGAGAATTCACTGAAATGAAATTCTGTTGTTTGAAAGACGATTCGAAAAATCTATTGATCTTTTCAAAATAGCGCTTGTTTTTTTGACTTTGATTTTCTAAATAATGTTTCATGGTATATTCTTATACTTTTAGATTGCACAATAAAATAGCTAATCTATTATTTGCAGATAATTAAATACTGAATATTTCAATGAAAATTTCTCTAGATCAAGTGTATTGAAGAAGAGACGAACTGAAAATACTAAGAGTATAAATTATTTATTATCTTTGTTTTCGTTTTCCTGACGTTTAGTTTGATCATTTCATTTGTCTTACTATCAAAACAACGATGATGTCGTGGTCGAGCTCTCAATGGTTGTTCTTATCCTTTATATTAGGACAATTTAATGTACATTATGTAGCCTCATCTTGGCCATCGACAAACTCTTCGAATATTCAACTATTAGGCCTTTTTGAAAATGTATCCAACACATCTGAATCTAGTAAAGTATCTGTTCATAGTCGTGCTATGTTTAAAGCAGCTGTGATGGTTTCTCAACAATATAATATAACAATAGAAGGACAATTGATAGAATGGCAATCAGTCGAAACTGGTGGAAATACAATCAATGCTCTTACCAAAGCATGTCAAGCATTGTCTATTTCAAATATTGTTGGTATTGTTGGTCCACAGTTATCAAGAGAAGCTCATTTAATAGCTGATTTAGGTAAAACAATAGATATACCTGTTATATCTTATATTGTAACTGATCCTGATTTATCTGATTGAAATGCTTATACAAATTTTTATCGTATAGCTCCTTCAGATAATTTAACTGCATTAGCAATTGTAAAATTATTAATTCGATTTAATTGGACATCATGTATACTTATTTATCAAAATGATGCATTTGGATCTGGAGGTGCCAAAGTAATAGATGAAGCATTTACTAATAATAATTTACTAATTGAAGAATCGATAATATTTGACATTGCTACACTTCGTATTCGACGTGACCTGAAAATCTATTTAAAAAATAGTGCAACTCGAATTGTTGTTTTATGGGTTCAATCAAAATATATGCCCTCAATTTTACGCTTTACTCTTAAATATGATCTACTAGGTCCACACTTTACATGGATATTAAGTTCAACTGTTTCATTAAATGTTTTTGATAAAAAGGCTTATGAAAAACTAATTGGGTTATTTGTCATTGAACCTATTACAGAAAATGTTGTTAATGTACCAATTAATACAACACTAATAAATGCCGCATATCAGATTTGGCAAAAATTTGAACCAGAATCATTTCCTGGATTGACAAAATTGAATTATTATGCATTATTTGCACTTGATGCAACATGGTCATTAATTCAATCATTAGAAAAACTTTGTTCAACAATTAAAACTAATTCTTCTCGTTCATGCTGGTTTATTATTAAATACAGTTAGTAGAACAGAATTTCTCGGTGTATCTGGTCCTATAAGATTTACTGTTAACGTCACAGATCGAACCAATGCTTTCCATTATTATATAAAAAATTTTGAAGGTTTTTCAAATGTTTTAAATTTTGTACCTGTATTAGAATATTCTGATCATAGTGATTGGGAAACATTTAAAGAAAAAAGTGTTATTGTGTGGCCAGGTAATTCATTAGTACCTCCGACTGGTAGAGCCATTCTTAAAGGTATACCTTTACGAATTGGTGTTATTGAATCAGTTCCATTTACAATAATAACACACGTCATCAATGAATTTGGACAAAATACAACTAAGTTAACTGGTTATATCCCTGAACTTATTGAGCTATTACGAAAAAAAATCGGATTTATTCCAAATATTGACATAGCACCATCAAATCAAACATATATTGGATTAATTCAAGCAGTAGCAAATGGTGATTATGATATTGTGATTGGCGATGTAATAATTACTGCAATGCGAAGAGAATCAGTCGGTTTTTCGAACGCAATATTTGATAATTCTTTACGTATTATAATGCGAAAAACACCTGATGTTAGTATTGATCTTTTATCATTCTTAAAACCATTTTCACGTAATCTTTGATAATTGGCATTAGGTACTTGTATCTATGCCGGTTTATTGTTTTGTCTTATAGAAAGAAAATATAATGAGAAATTACAAAATCGATCAATACTATCTCAAATAACAATGAGTATATGGTATTCTTTTGGTAATATTGTTGGGTATGGTGTTGGTTTTCATGTTCGTACAGCTGCTGGACGTTTAGTTGCTGTTGGCTTATATATGCTAAGTTTAATATTAGTAGCTTCATACACTGCAAATTTAGCATCAGATTTAACAATATCAAAATCAAAAGATATTATTTCTAGCATTGAAGATATTAAAAATGGAAAAATTTCATTTAATCGTATTGGTGTTTTTATTGGAACAGCAAGTGAAGATTATTATTTAAGAGAAATATCTAGTGATAATAAGAGCTACTATCCATTAAAAACGCGACAAGGGTTATATGATAGTTAACTTGCTGAAAATATTGATGCAGCTTTTATGGATACTGGTACTGCTGAATATGTTACGAATAATATTTATTGTAATTTCAAATTAATTGGAGAAGATTTTGAGAAAGGTTGTTTTGGCATAGTTACATCAAAACAATGGTTATATGCTAAAGATTTAGATGTTAATATTTTATTATTAAGAGAATCAGGGTGTGGATGTGGTTGTGGGTGGCTGTGAGTGTTTCTCAGTTTTACACCCACATCCACCCACACCCGCACACCCAAAGCGGCAGAGTGCATGTATAGAAGGGTTAACGCTGCAAGATGGTGCTTTATACCGTTATACTGATTAAAAGTGGTAGGTGAAGCATTTAATTAATTTTGTGTTTGTTCTTATCGCAAGTGTTTCAAAAATAGTGGTACACAAATTTACTTTTTAGACAAAAAAACGGTGAAAATTGGAAAACCTCCAGGTTTCTCACTAGGAGCAGGCATTGTTTTTTTATCTTCAGCTTGTCGATTGGTTGCCCTGATATATATAATACGTTGCATGAATTATTTTTATCATATTGTCATTAATATGAATTGATGAGGATTCCCATTTATATGTTCGTGATCAAGCTTTAATCAATTGTAGTCTGATTTTTTAAAGTTTTTGCGGTTAGTTTTAAAAGTGATGGAACGGGTTTTAAACCCTCATTAGGAATTCGTTGCCTTGCGTTAAAAGACCGACTAAGTAACTAGAATTCATTAATATTAGATGATGAGAGATGTCCGATAATAGACCATATCGTTTTACTACATTAAACCTTTCACGGCCAGATTTTGGGTGGCTAAGTTTCTTTTGGAAGTGAAAATTAGTGATAACCTTCTTTAAATCTCCCGGTTGAACAAACAGATAAATAATATTACTAGGACAGAAATATCCACAAATTAATTCCGTCTATGCAGTATCATCGTTCTTCTACCAGAGTTATTGATCCTAGTTTATTATAGTTCTGCAATCGAAAACAAAAGATTAATACATATTTGTAATACGAGCCATGAAAGCGTTAAGTCACCGACTTGGAGATTTAGAAATGGATCAAGAACCGATAGAATAGGATCCGTATTTGGTTGTCAGGATGGGCTACCGAAATCGTAATCGGAAACAGTGCCGGAAACGAATACCGTAACAACTGATTGATATCGGATTGCGAAATTGGCAGGAAATAAGCCGGGTACGCGAGCAGGAACCGGCATAGAAATCCAACGAAGAAAATCCGAAGGAAACCTAATCAAATCGGTCGTTTTCCCTAAAGTGCCTAAAATCTGGATTGCAAACGGAGCTCACGAGATTTTTTCCGCAAACATCCCACCCGTTTCCAGTTGGATATAACAGGAATGGTAACGGAAAAAGCCGTTTAATTCCGGTTCGAAATACTGCTTCCATGAAATCTGCGGAATAGCCCAAAACTGGATGCTTCCTTGCTAGATCGCTCGACATGGGTGTGATGCAAAAATATACCGCAATAACCCTTTTTTATGATAAATGCTCATATTCGAACATGCTTTATTTGCTAAATCGATCGCCATAGTTTCTGTTTGCCTGATCAACAAAAAACAGTTTCTTTGCATGTATTCGCATCTTTAACTTTGATCACTAAAAGTCAATGTTATTTCTCTCTTAATCTTTATCTTTTATCTTTAAGATCAACAAATACAAAACTCATTTACAATTTCCTTTGTACAGTTTCAAGATTTTTTCGAAAACTTTGCAGATTAGGATGATTTGAGGGTAGTGAACGTTTTCCAATATCTAAAGCGCGTTCAAAAAACGAAAAAGCTTTTGAGTATTCGGCAGTCTTGTAATACAAATTACCGATATTGTTGTAAAGAGAAGCCAAATCAGGATGATTTGGGGGAAGAGTTTTTTTAAAGATTTCAAGTGCTTTCTCTTGAGACAAAAGTGCTATCGAATACTCCTGCATATTTTCGTATACCAAACCGATGTTGTTATAAGAAGTAGCCAAATCAGGATGATTTAAAGGAAGAGCTTTTTCGCGAATTTCAACTGCTTTTTTGTAATATGAAAGTGACTTTGAGTACTCGCCCAATTGAATATATACCAAACCGATATTGTTGTAAAAAGTGGCCAAATCAGGATGATTTAGGGGAAGAGTTTTTTCAACGATTTTAAGCGCTTTTTCATAACATGAAAGTGCTTTCGAGCAGTCATTCATATCGTAATACACTAAACCAGCGTTGTTATAAGAAGTAGCCAAATCAGGATGATTTGGAGGAAAAGTTTTTTCTCGAATTTCAAGTGCTTTTTCATAATACAAAAGTGCTTTTGAGTTTTCCCCTATATTGTTATAAACCGCAGCGATATTGTTATAGGATTGAGCAAAATCAGGATGATTTGAAGGAAGAGTTTTCTGTCGAATATTAAGTGCTTTTTCATAGCATGAAAGTGCTTTCGAGTAGTCACCCATCTTGTAATATACTAAACCAATGTTGTTATAAGAAGTAGCCAAATCAGAATGATTTGAAGGAAGACTTTTTTCTTGAATTTCAAGTGTTTTTTCATAAAATGAAAGTGCTTCTGAGTATTTGCCTATCCTGTAATATACGAAACCGTGACAGGCGTATGAAACAGCTAAACTAGGGTGATTTGAAGGAAAAGTTTTTTGTCGAATATTAAGTGCTTTTTCATAATATGAAAGTGCTTTCGAATAGTTCCCCATCTTGTCATACATTGAACCAATATTGCTGTAAGAAGTAGCCAAATCAGGATGATTTGGAGAAAGAGTTTTCTGTTGAAATTCAAGTGTTTTTTCATAATATGAAAGTGCTTTCGAGTACTCTCCCATGTCCCCATACACAATACCAATGTTGTTGTACGAAATAGCGAAACTGACGTGATCTGGAGAAAGAATTTTTTGTCGAACATCAAGTGCTTTTTCATAGTATGAAACTGCTTTCGAATAATTGCCCATCTCGTAATATACAATACCGATGTTGTTATAAGAAGTAGCTAAAGCAGGATGATATGGAGGAAGAACTTTTTGTTGAATTTTAATCACTTTTTCATAATATGAAAGTGCTTTTGAATACTCGCCCATGTTGTCATATAGTAAACCGATGTTGTTATAAGAAGTAGATAAGTCGGGATGATTTGACGGAAGAGTTTTTTGCCAGATGTCAAGGGCTTTTTCATAATATGAGAGTGCTTTTGGATAGTTTCCCATAGTGTAACGCAGCCTGCCGATGTTGTTATAACACTTAGCCAAATCAGAATGATTTGAAGGAAGGGTTTTTTGCCAGATTTCAAGAGCTTTTTTATAATAAGAAAGTGCTTTGGGATACTCGCTCATGTTGTCATAGATGAGACCATGAGAGACGTAAGAAATAGCAAGATCAGAATGATTTTCAGGACGAGTTTTTTGAAAGATATCAAGTGACTTTTCAAGTAATGCAATTGCTTCTATGTATTTCCCTTGTCCATTCTTGACAATTCCAAGCATATGATATAACTGACCTTTTTCACCTTCACTATTAGTCTGTTCAATTAGTATACTATATAATTCTTGGGCTTTGTTAAATTGGCCTAATTTAAAGAGCACTGCACCTAATCGATACCAACCTTCTTGATCGGGAAATGTCTCTTCTCGTATGCACTCAGCCAGTTCATGTAATTGTGGATCGTTATCACTGGTTAGTGTTAAGTTGACCTGCCAGAAACGCCCATCTCCGTTTATTTTCTTCATCTCTTCAATACGAAAAACGGAATGCATGGAGAAGAGAATTTCCTCTTCTGTCTTAAAATAACTGTCGTTGATGGCGTTGCCGAAAGGCGTCGAGGGTGTTGAAGGATTGATAGCTATTTTGAAGAACACACCTATTAAATCAGGATCAGATAGAATACTTTCAGCGAAGGCAAAGGATACCAGTTGATCAAGACTTGTGGACAAAAAATTATTAAAGGATATTAATCCACCTTTTGATTTGATGAGTTGATCAAAGTCTGTCTTGGACAAACCTTGCCCGCGAAATACGGTGAAAGAATTCGAATGTTTTTGTTCTCCGTATTGTTCAGAGTATAGGCGGACGAGATGTTGGTGAAGATCTCGAATGAAGAATCCCATTCGTATGATAAGGTCAATTTCCATTGTTCGTAGTGCTCTATTTACCATGGAATAAAGAAAGCCGTCGCAAGTATACCACCAAATTGGTGGGTGGTCACGATATTCTTTGCGGAGTTTTTCGACAATTTGTAATGCAGTAATATTACCGGCAAATTGTTCACAGCAGTAGTTAAGAAATTCATTAATATGGATTTCTTGGAAGTCAATAGTAAGTAGAATTTCCTTCAGTATCTGCGTATACATGAAGGATTGGTCCAGTTCTTCGAGATTCTTTTTTTCAGCTTTATCATCAGACTTGATGAAGCTCATGGAGACCATATTTTGTTCACATTTTTGAACATCTTTTTTAAGTGCTTCATAAATCCGTGTGATATTAGTGAAGACACCTTTTACTTTGAACCATTGTTTCGCCCATTGTTCATATTCAGTCTTATTTTCACAAACAATGTAAACATAACTTACTTGTTGAATGCTTTCAACAAAAGGAATAATAATTTGACTAAATGTTTTGGAGATAATGAGGAAAATCTGTTCTTCTTTAATGTCAGTAATAAAATCAATACATTCATCAGCATCTGTGAATATATTGACTGTATTTATCGCCTTCTGTAGTTGTATGATTGAATTGCAGCAATCTTGATTGTTTGTATTGTCGATACTTTCATCCAACCATATAAGGAGGAAATTTTGTACTCTACGAGTATAAAATGGCCTGTTCTTTTCATCCATACTGTTCGCTGTCTAATAAATAAAAACGATTGAAATTATATCAGTAATATGTTGGATTTTTCTTCCTCTTAGATTTCTCTACTTGTTTTTTTTTTGTTATTGCCTTCATTTTCTTTTTTCGCTTTCATTTAAGCGTCTTAGCGTGTTTTATTGACTGTGTTGTCACAAGAAAAATCTGGAAAAAGAAGCCGTCCACTTTTTTATTTAAATGCCATGTATTTTCTCTTCTTTTTCTTTCGCTGAAGATTTCAATAATTTTTCTTTCTTCCAACAGTTAACCATATTGTGTTAATGTACATCAAGGTAAGGGGTAAGTGTGAGTCAAGTATGTCACGAACAATATTTCGATCTTACTCAAGAGTCTTCATTAGATGACTTTGTCTTTGTCGATACTTGTTCAAAATCATCTTTGCAAAGCAGCAGAAATTATAAACAAAGTATACGAATCTATTCACAGCCCAACAAAAGTTAGAGACGATAGATGTCGTTTACGACAGTAGTGTGTTAGGGGGCTAACACTGTATCGTCGGATGAATGATAATCGAAGATGAATATACAGTAAAATATCCCATAGTGATGAACACCCCTCTATAGTGGACACTTCGTGATTCGACCAACCGATTTTTACTGGAATTGAACCTATGTATAGTGGACATCTCCATATACGGAGCACCTGTTTATAGTGGACACTTTTCACGGTCCCTCTTGTATAAATAATCTCCGTATAGTGGACACTAATTATGATTTAAAGAGAATGTCACGGTGATTATCATCGATCATAGAGCATGACGACTATTCTTCATTATTCAGACGGTGGAATGACAAGAGAAAAAGAACACGTTTTCTATGTAAAAGTGAGATGAGTATATATATGATCGTATTGTAACATGTGTGTCATTTTGCTGCTATCAAATAAAGAAACAAAATTATGTCGAATAGACGAGCATTGATTCTAGAACAAAATATTGCACTAATCAAAGACAATCAAAATGGTCATTTTTTTGTCAGTACGAAAACTGGCCGATAAATACAATATATCAAAAAGTAGTGTTCCCAACATTCTCCATCGTCAAGAAGAATTCTTCTCTGATTATGCCTCTAATTCGAACAAGGGTATAAAACGAAAGCATAACGATGGAAATGGACAAGATATCGAATGGTGTGAGTGTGGGTGTGCGATGTAGCTTTTCTCTCTATTTACACCCACACTCCACATCCTTCCAACAAATTATCAAAAGGTTTCAGCTTGCCATTAGTAATCATAACAATTATTGTCATCATTTGAAGAAATAAGATTGGAAATCTTCTCTTATTTTCATATTTTTATTTAATGATGCCAGAACTTTCGACTACCCCTAAGTACTTGTGTGATTTGTACATCACTATTGGGAATGGTGCAGCGTATTATCATTTGAATCATGTTAGAAAGAGCATTCAAATCATATCTTTAACAGAGCAAACATCCTGTCACATTTTATTGAACGTCACTCTAACTGTCAGTGCACAAAACATTTATGTTCATACATCTGTCTCAATAAAAGTGCGTATAGAAAAAATAATGCGAAAAAGAGCGGAACTACCAATGAGAACGATATATGTAATCTATAGCAGTAAAGGCAATAATAAAACGTATACAAGCAACATCTGCTCTACACTTCTGACAAATCTGATTGACTAGTTACGTTATATTGATTGGGAGACGCTATAGCTTAGAGGTATAGAAGTTTTGCAGGCATTTCACTATTATCTACAGAAGAATAGTGGAAAAACAACAACTTTGGTATATACTGTAAGTTCACTAAAAGTCTCGACGTACATCCGAAAAACCTGACTAATCTTTTATTGATGTGGATTATATACATTAAAGAGAAAAGTTCATTACTACAAACCGACAAGATGTGTTCTGACTAGGAGTAGCACTTTAACTTTACTTCAAAAGTTAAGGTTAAAGTAAAACACTTTAAACTTTAAACTTTAATAAAGTAGTACACCTTAAAACTTCAACTTTAACAAAAGTCAACATTATAGTCGATAGGTACCCTTAATTCATTATCTACTATACAACAAGGGTACCTAAGACCCTTTATGGCCCACATAACGAGGAGACCTAAGACCCTTTATGGGCTATATAACGGAGGTATCCATGACTCATTATCTACTATCTATCGAGAGTATCCATCGCTCATCATGTGGGTGTGGAGTGTTGGTCTGGAGCAGGGTTGCCCGAAGTGAAGCTCGAGAATCTGGAATTCAAATATCAAAATCCGGAATATCCCGAAATTTTGTTTTTGAAATCCGGAAGATTTCCGAGGGTCATTTCTCATCACTTGGAGTGCGTTTTTCTCAATTAGATTATCAATAGCGTTGTTCTTTACCATCCATGTTACATGATTTTTGTCTAGTTTATATTCTTTCACAAATTTAAATTCATTTAACCATTTGGATTCGAACACTCCTTTGTCCCCTTGTTTATTTTTTTTCCTGTAAATCAATCTCAGTGGATGTTGATTGTACTTTTTGTGATAGTTCATTTTCTACTAAAACCTCTACTTTTTCGTTGTCGTAAAACATTATGTAAATGTAAGGGAAAATTAATGCAAGATACAGATTATCATTTTTTTTACTTTGGAATAAAAAAAACTAGGACAATTAGTGTTTCAGGTAGACCAATAGCAGAAAACACTAAACCTCCATCCAATCAGTAATGATTTGTTTAGAATGTTAAGAAATAAGTGATATACAATTGAAAAAAAGTATTCAAAATCATGAAAAACTCGCAAAATCCAGCAGATCTGGCAACCCTGATGTGGAGTGTGAGTGTAGGTGCGGGTGTAGATGTTTTAATCTTCATCCACACCCTGTTTCCAGCGGGTCACTTTTGTTTTCGTAGGGATATGGTGTTGTTTCCGGTGCATTCAGTGAGTGAAAATTTTTCGGAATGGAATGGTTACCGGTGCGATGGCTTTCTAGCCGGAATACTAACACCCTGTTCCGATTATTTCTTCGGATGATTGCGGTGGGAATGACGCGGAAGCCGATATAAATTAGGTGCGGGTGTGGGGTGGGATGTAAGTGTGTGGGCTGAGAGTGACGAAAAGATTCACACCCACACCCCATCATCCATTATTTCCTTCAGTGAATTTTACTTCATCATTAATAGCTGCCACGGAAAAAAATTTTCAAAAAAACTGCGGTGGGCAACGGTATTAAAAACCGAGGTTTTGGTCGGTATTTTCAGATGCCGAGAGTCAGACCGTCTATGCGTTTCTCCGAAACCGCTCAAAACCGCAGTCTCAAAAACACGGTTTTGAGCGGTTTCGAAGAAAAGCATAGATGGTCTGACTACCGTTATATAAAAAACCACTTCGAACCGCGGTTTTGAATACCGTTGCTAACCGCGGTTTTTTCCGACACCCTAGAGTGAACCGACTCTGGTATGCTGAACATAACCTGTAACTTGAAAGTTTCAGGTGTGGTGCCCTTCTAGGGGCAGTGGAGGCAACTCTCTCGAACTCCATTTCCACAAAGTATCTTTGTAGAGTCAGATGAATTATCTGTATAATAATCGAAAAATTTGGCAGAAGGGTGTGGGTGTGGGTGTGGTGTGGTGTGGGTGTGGGTGGGTGTGGGTGTGGGTGTGGGTGTGGTTGGGTGTGGGTGTGGGTATGGGTGGGCGTGTGGAATGTGGGTGTGGGTGTGGGTGTCTTCTCTTTATCCATACACATGTCCACACCACCTCCACATCTACACCCCACACCCACACCCACACCCACACCCACACCCACACCCACACCCACACCCACACCCTGTCGGATATGATAGAAAATAATTATATTCATTCATAGGAGTCAATCAAAAACTCTATAGATTGGCACAGGACATTACTTTTACACAGTCTGTTGATTTAGTAACAATATTACCAAATGAAGATAATGACTCAAGAACTGAATCAATACTCGATCAATTCTGTTTTTCAGTGATATCTAGAATTCAACACAATATTCAATGTCTTACTTTTGATTTATTGTCAATAGATCGTGTTCTTCATATTGGAAATTATCTTTAATTTCATAAACTTACTCTTGTTAATCTTCAACTTGAAATTGCATCTCGTATTTTCAATTTTATTTCCTCTTTTTAGTTATTCTTCAAGATAAAGTAAACTAAGTCGATTAATTAATTTATTGTATATATTCAGACGGATCATCATTTTTTTTAATATTTTCAAACAGTAGATTTCACATCTGAATGTTACGATTAATGAAGGCAGCATAGGTCAATATATACGAAAACTATCCACAAATGTTTTCACCACTATTTTGACAATATAAACAAATTAAACTTATCGTCATTTCAGTTTAAAAGGCATTTGTCGGTATCCACTAACATCACTTATCGATTTCGTATCTTCAACATGTTATCCATCAAGTATTATTCATTTGAATGTTAGAGTGCGCTGTTTTAACGATTGTCGAAGTTAATTACATTTGTAATACATCAGTGACTATCAATAATACGGTAAAATATTTTAAATCATAGAAAAATAGTACTTTCATCTCAGCTTTTGATAAAGCGCTAAAGCACTTGTATGACGAAAAATAAATTAGAAAATAATGAATAAATTTAAAAACATAAAGTTTATTTATCGATATTAGATAAAGAAAAAAATAAACATATTACAAAAAGATAATAAGATAACAGAAATATTTCATTATGAGCCTTTTTACAATGTCTGAGTTTGACATTATCGAATTTCATCTTCAATTATTTTCAAAGAGTTTTTTCACGTATAGATCAAATAGTTTACTAAAGAAAAATAATTTGATCAATCATAATATGAGACTATATTATTTTGGTTCTTTTTTTCTATTTTTCGAAGTTTTAAAATTGTTTTCGATGAGAAAAGGATATGCCATTGCCAATAATATTAAAGATTTGCCATTCTATTACTGTTATAGATATTGCAAAAATTTATCAAATCAAGTATTGAATAATAAGAAAATCTTTGTCTAAGAATTGACTCCGAAAGTTTCATATGATAAATCATTTTGGATATCAGAATCTATTTCTGGTTTCATCAGTTTTCTATGAAAGAATAAAGACATATTTATTAATTGAGTAGATCTTGTCATGCATAGTCATGTCTAAATATATTTGATAAAATATTAATTTAATAATTGATGGATGACGGAGTATAACTAAGACCCCAAATATTTACTTATCTAGTTATTAGACTGATCTTGTTTGAATTATCAATTTGACATAACTTTATATTTTAATCTTTTTAGAAAACTCTGTCTAATCTAAAATGTTTCTCGTTGTTTTCATTTCGTCACACAATGGAGTATAATAAACAAATTGTATCATTTCTTCGTCAAATATCACAATTAGAAAAACTTAACGTTATCCGTTATTATTTGTCATCGAACTTTATTCATTGATGAAAATCATTTAGTTGATGATATAATTAGTAAAATGTCACATCTACATTCATTTATCTTCAACATTATATTCCAAAATGTCATCATGAACAAAAAACTTTTACCAAGAGTTGATGATGTTGAACGTGTGCTCATCTACAGTGCGATCATTACCGAAAGAATTAATTTTGAGGAAGATGCAAAAGAAGCTTCTCTTTTGTATAGTCTACCCTTTACTACTTAAAGTCGAGGTGAAACATAAATATATTACATGTAAATGGAAGCACTTATTGATGCACATTAAATGATCCTTGTACGAGATATATTACGATAGACAGGGCTACTTACCGTTGTCCTTATATTTGTTATACCGTTCAACAACGTAATAAAGACAGAAGAATAACAAATTCATTTGTTTTATTCACTTGCTTCATTACAGGTATTTTAAAGATTGATAATGATGGTTGGTTTTTTTACTAGTAACTCATAAAAAATATGATATTGAAGTTTTATATAAAACTTCTACTCGGATCAAATCTCAGAATCTTAATATACTTTATAGGGTGTTAATGAAGAAAAGATTCATTTCCATATCCTCAAGTCATTGAATATCTCAAAAATGTCTCTATAAGATGCACAAGATTTGATTACTTCTGAAAAATAATTGTTTATTTTGTAGATTTAATCTTACAAAAAAATTTAATCATTGCTCTAGACATCATTATGTGTTCAGATAGTTTCAAAGATCATTAATAATCTCCCATTCCCAAAAACCTTCGAGAATCAAAACTATTTTTATGGATTTGTACACTAGGTCACTCATGCAAAATGTTCATATGTTTATCTCAAAAATCTGTTTTTTTTGCAGAAAATCGAGTTTTCTGAGATGAAGGGCCCTCCTTAATTTGTCTATAAGTTTTGACTCGGTTCTGTTCAGTTGGAGATTTTTGTCGGTTTGGTTTAAAAGAATAACACAAACTGATCCAATATTTTATGTTTATTATAAGAATCAGCAATTTAGACTCTTATAACAAATTTAGAGAAATTATTTTCTGAATATAAACTAGTGTTATCATTCTGAATACAATTGATTCTTGAAAACGTTGTTTTTCTTTTGACTGTCATTGCAGTTTAATCATAAGTTAGTCACGAAGTTTTAGTCAAAGTTTATCAAATTAAGAATCTTTTCTTTTGTCTTTTCCATAAGATATAATAATACTTTCACTTTATTCCTAACTGAGATGTATCATTGTACTATAAAAATATCATCTTAGTTAATCAAGTCGATTGAACAACGTTGGTAATAGCTTACATACAATGCCTCCTACTAATGACTCGAAAAATTGTGTCATGAAACATTTTGTCCTTTTAATCAAGCAAGTATTTCGTGTTTTATATTTTAAGCCAACATAGATTCTGTTTACAGTGTTTTTTTCTAAAGTTCTTAGTTTTATATTCATTTGGAGATTCTAAAAAAAAAGCTATTGCATCTAATATTACACTAAGTAACACGACTTCGACATATCAATCTAAATAAAATTAATTTTTTTTCTACAAAACAATCTTTTGTTTTTCTTTTTACTATTTTTCCATCAAATGTCAGTTATTATGTGTAATCATTCTCATATGTACATAGATATCGTTCTTTTAAATTAAACATCAAATTAATCATGTCTCTATTATAATATTTTCATTCGTCTAAAGATTAATTTTATTTCAATAATAATTTATAATAATCGAAATCCTTTTTCGAAAGGAAAATAGTCTTTTACATGTTGAGATAGATGACCATTATCATATAGACATAAATGAATCACTTTTGTACAATTAAATTGTGTTGCATTTCTTATAAAATTTCGTGTTAATCTTAGCAATGGTTGATAACACACACAAAAAGACGAACAACATTTGATAAAGACGTTTGTCAATCAACTAGAAATTGTTTGATATAATCATCGTGAGCATCAGTTAGATCAAGTTTAACAAGATGAAGATATTTAATGATTGGTAAATCTTGATTGTTCTTCTTCGGTCTACTATGTAAATTGTTTTTTTGTGACTTGTCATTCATTACATTTAAACTTTTCATAAATGGAAATGATTGAGAAACTCGAAGAAAAAATTCATGTTCGAAAGAATGTTCATCAAATAAAGTTATATTACGGACACATTCAAAAATTCCACCAGTAAAATTATTCAAAATTTGGTCATAATCTTTCAGTCTATATGGATATGAATAAATAAGATATTCAGCTCTATCAGTCTCTAGAAAATAATCAACACAACAAATAATTTGATTATCTTGAAAATCTTTGAATATATGTCGAATATCTTCATTTGATGGTAAATTAGTTTGATTATAAAGATCAATAATTGAACGAATATTAAACGAAATTGTTTTTAATCGTGACATATAATTGATTATATTCTTCTTCAACTTATTACCATCAACAAACATTCGTTTGTTAACAACTGTAAAATACAAATCAAGTTTTTCTAAATTCGACATTCGCTGTAAAAGTGGTACAATCAATTCACCATAAGCTTTTGTTTTCGTATTACAATGTAGGGAAAAACATCTTAAATTAGGTATTTTTTCCTAGAAAATAGAAAAACAATCTAATGAATTCGTTTGAATACATTAAATAATTACTAATCAAAACAATCTACTTTATTGCTAATTGTTGTATCTGATAAAGGAATCATGAACATACGAACACAAAGCGTTTGAAGTTGATGAAAACATCCGTCAAGTAAATAAATACAATCATTGAAGTTGTCCAAAGCGACATGTAATTCTAAGAGAGTTGAACTGACATCAATTGGATGTAAACTGTAAAATGATAAGTTTGAAGAACAACCTGCAGATGAATCGAAATTTAAATATTTTAAATTGTTTAATAAAGAAAAGATTTGTCTAAATAGAAGTGTATATCTCATTGAAATACATTTTTTATCTGTAATACCATTGATAATAATTGATAAAATTTCATTTTTGAAGGTAGAACCGAAAAAAGATTCTTCTAAATAAAAAAGAAAAGAAATACGAAATTCATAAATATTTCTAAGATTATATTTTGATCATAAAATCAATGTATTTATTCATTTGAACAATTCCATAACATAGATTAAAAGATAAATTAAAATTTTAATTTCTCCTATAAGAAAATTTAAAATTGCTCTAAATTTGAATTTCCTCTATTACATGTACATATGATTTTCTTTTGAAAATTTACAATAGATTATTCTCTTTTATGGATGTTGTGTTTTATCTCAATCATTTATTTCACATTTGCTTCTTTTACAATCAATGTTCAAAATATTAATTAAAGATATTATAAACTTTTATTCAAATACTGGTTTATATATCTACATATATAGGACATATATTCAATGAACTTGAACAACAAGAGAAAAAAAAGATGGCAACACATTTGATTGAATTTCCTTATTTATTTACACTGATTTTGCATAATATACATACGAACTATGCTGAACAACTTATATGTCGAAGTCATCTTCCACAGTTGGTCGAGCTCGTCATTCGTAATGATTCATTATTAGTCACAATGGTTAACAATAATCAACAAGCTAGACGCAATTGTTCAGCAGTTGAAAGACTTCGAATAGTTGAACCATGGATCGAGCCAACATGTGATCAGTTGAAGCTTTTTCCATTAGTTTAAAATTTTCAAAACTTATTAACATAATGAAACAAAATCAGTTTACATATATCTTTGTATTAATTGTATGTGACTTTTTTGTTAAAGCTTTGTTTATGAAAACTCAGTGTAAAGTAATCAATATAAATATGCTTAGTAATTATTTTTTTAACTGAAACAAACTCTAACACAAATAATAGCGCACTGTACGAAATAGCAGTGTATGTACGATATCACTTGTACTCATTTTAAAGTTATTCAGGAAATCTGTAAATATCTTTATTGGTTTAGAAAACAGTGTTTCCGTGTTATGTAATAAGTCAGGAAACTTATTATAAAGCAATGCTTAATACATTGGCTCATATTTGGAAAATAAAAGAAACTTAGCGAAGGCCTTTTTGTTCCTTCCACCTTGATCGATAGTATTAGGTAAGTAAAGAAGACATTTTAGTCATTTATTGTTGATTCACTAATTGATATTCGAATACTTGTAACAAATCGAGATTTACGTAGGACTCTCATATATGATCCTTAGTTTTCATCAAAACGAAACATGTGGATGTGAAATGAATTTCTCTATCGAAAACCCGAAGCCACTAAATATAACAAGGATATTCTTTTTTGTAGAGTTTTTTATTTATTTTTTGTTAAAACGAAAACATAAACATCGTTTACTTTGATCTTAGACAGATATGAATTGAATTAATTTTACATTAGATCATTTTGAATTCAGCTGGTCTGTACCTGGGTTCAATTAAAATTATTATACGAGCTATTCGAATGCAAGAAGAAATTTTGATTAGATAAATTTGATGAGGGTGTGGGTCTGGATCTGGGTGATTTCTTCTTCCAGCCACAGCCACACCAACACTCTGAACCAGATAGGTTCCTATTGTTTGAGAAATGGATAGCTTGCACTATTCCAGACTGGGTGAGTCCGACTCATCACTCGGATCCGACTCAAGAAATTGCTTGACTGGTCCAACCCTGAAGATCAACCCAAGTGACACTCACTGTTTGAGCTCATATTGAATCTACAGAAAGATCTCTATGAGAATAGCCGAAGTCTAAGAGGATTCGTCCCTATTGACCTTTAGCACCGAGTTATGATCGGTTGACTGGATTTTTGACTCATTTTGACGTACTCCTTCAAAGATCGCATAACCGTCTTTTAATCCAAAATTTCGTCTATTGATAGATCTAATCACTCTTAGAATATTCTGAAAGTTTTAGCTGAAATTTGTTCGATTTTTGTGATATGTCTGTCACTAAGAGCTTTTTTTTGAAGACTCAATCAAAGTCTGTCATTTGATATTTTGGAGATCACCTACAAATGAATCGCTAAACTACTAAATTCATCGCCACTTGGCGACTAAGACCTGTCTGTGGATCCAATATGAGCTGAAACGGCGGGTGTCAGTCGAAGCAGTTCCCTCGTTAGTCTTTTTTGTACTCACTCGTTATATGTGAATATCTTTACATAATTCGAGCGATTAAACAATGAGTTTCGATCCTGTTTCATCGATAGTTCAAGACTAAATAATTAATCTTCCTGCTTCGTCAACTTTCTTTTCCCCTTTTTTACCGGCACTATTCATTAGAGAAAGTTATTCGATTCGTGCCCATGTATGCTAATCGCAAGCGTTTTTGAGGTCTCTCTACTGATGGTAATGTTCACTTTAAAAGTGTCGAATAGTGTCATTACCGTTTAGTTTGTTTGTTTCTTTTCAAGACAAGATTTCTTTAGTAAAGTTCTGAAATTATGTTGATAAAAAGATAGGAAGATATCCTTCTAATGTTTAATAAAATATGTTATCGATGAAATGTCTTTGATTTACTTTTCTCATCGTTAACATTGTAAGTCAGAAAGAAAATGTTGACGCTTATGATTGGAAAAATTAAAGATCCTTAGTTTTATGCCAAACAATGCCATCGCGGTTGTTTGTTCCGTCACCAGAAATAGTCTAATTTATTAACTTGAAAAAAATACATATAATGAAGACTACTTTATCAAAGTAAAATTAAATTTTTCTTACATAAACCAAATCTACCGATAGAAATCCAAAAAATAAATCTATCTATTTAAAAAATGTTAAGAAGACAAACTCCAAGAAAATGTACTAGAAATAATAAGCATGATATTAAATTAATTTTTGATGTTTATTAGTTATAAAATACAAACAAATGTAATTAAATAGAATTATTATCTTTCTATAATTTATGAAAATTAATTTTTGTTCCTAAATGTATAACTAATATATTTGAACTAAACATCTTACCATTGTTTTATTTTGGATGATATTCATGTATGACTTTCAATATATCATCTTTACTAATATGAAAAATATGTGAAGTAGCTGTATGTGTAACAAGTCATTCATCATATTGAAGTGAACAACAACTAATTCGAGACCATAATCCTGAACTTCTAATATTAAGCAGAAGTGACCAATGTTGATTGAGTGTTGAAGATGGTCGAAGTTCAATATTCATAACACCTCCAAAAGATTCTCTAATTACTAAAGCAAGTGTTCTATTATTATATTGAATAGCATGAATAGATTCATGTGGTTTACAAGAATATGGAGATTGCCATTGTTCAACTGGTCGAATTAATGGTAAAAGTTTAAATTGAAATATATTTGAACCTGTTTCACATATGGTTAAATAAAGATATGTATCTGAACATGTACAAGATAACCAATCGTTTTCTTCAATTCCATAAATACGTTCAATTGATAAAGTAGTTTCATGAATACGATAAACTTTTTTCTTGTCAGTTATAACAATAAAATTCGATAATGTCGATGAGCAACACATGTCATAAATACATTCAAATTTCCATGGAGTTTTTTTTAATAAGATTTAAATCTCGATCAAACAAACCTAAATGATTAGATAAACTAATTAAAATAGATTGATTATTACTAGTAAGTTCTGATTGCCATCCATCAATACATTCAATTGTATGATATGGAATTGAAAGAATTGATGTATTTATATTAAATGCATTTGGTTTAGAATCTTTTATAGATATTGCATGATTATCTAACGGGTGCGGCAGAATAAATGGCGGTCTCAATATTTTGACTATAGCTTTTTTTCTTTGTGTTCTTTAGAGCTTATTGGTTCTCCAAAAGATGCGCCGTCAAATTCTCTACAAAGCCGTAATCAAACTTATTCCTGAAGAAGGTTAAGGAAAAAAAATTAAACGAAGATTATCGAATATATAAAAAGTATTCAACTTTCCAACCTAACAGGTGTCCCATGAAAGACCGGAGCTTATAACTCTTTCTTTTCATCATCTGGTAAATTGATATTTAAAAGAAAAGTATACTAGAAGATGCAGCGTGAAAAGCTCTACAAGTTACATTAAAAAACTTATGCACTCTATCTTTTCAAAGTGGACGAAACTTTGCCCGACCAATTTTCGATGCTGCGGAAATATCATGTATTGGTCGCACGGAACTTTGCTTATTTTAAAAAACAAAAGGTGCATACACATAAAATAAATTGTCGTTTGTAAATTGTGGAGCTTTTCACGCTGCATCCTGTGGTATATTTTGTTTTCTTTTAATAAAACATATTAGATAATAAAAAGAGAAAATAAGAGAAAACGAATTCGTAGTGTGCCAAAAAATGATCCTGTTCGCAGTGTCAAAAATTGGTCTCATAGAATTTTGTCAATTTTGATTAAAAAGAGTGCATATATAAAATAAGATTTTTAATATAACTTGTAGAGCTTTTCACGCTGCATCTTCTAGTATACTTTTCTTTTAAAAAATCAACTTACTAGATGATGAAAAAAAAGAGTTATAAGCTGCGGTCTTTCATGGAACACCTGTTAGATTGGAAAGTAGGATACTTTTTATATATTCGATAATCTTCGTTTAATTTTTTTCCTTAACCTTCTTCAGGAATAAGTTTGATTACGGTTTTGTAGAGAATTTGACGGCGCATCTTTTGAAAAAACAATCAGCTCTAAATAACACAAAGAAAAAAAAGCTATAGTCAAAATATTGAGACCGCCATTTATTCTGCCGCACCCGTTAATTTAAAAAGACAAATATATATTTGTATGCCTTTATCTTTGATTTTGTTTATCTCTTTTTTAATATCATCAATTGTTGATTATAAAGATTGAAGATTTTTTCCCGAGAATGTTTCACTATGAAATGAATTAATAATTTTTGTTCGTGTTTGATCGATTATCTTTTCGATATTGATCTATTTTTTGAGTCAAAAATCGTTCAAGTTCTTGACATTTTTGTTCATAATAACAATTGATAATTTGATGACAATCATCTTTTCATTTGTCGAGTTTATCACGACTATCTTTAATCAATTTGTCTATATCAAATGTCTTAAATTGATCATTGAGCATTTATGATATCATCATTTAACGAATTTAATTCTGATTTTCTTAAATCATTATGTTCTTTCATATGATCAATACAGATATGTTTATTACAACAAGAACATAAAGTAGATGATTTGTACTTACATGTTGGAATAACACATGGCTGGGACATTATTATAGCAAGAAAAAAAAATGTGCAAATATATAGCTAATAAAAGAATAGAGAAGTATTTATCATTTTACAAACATGACTGTTATCTTTTGTATATCAATGATACATAATTGTATCGTTCTTTGAAATAAAAATAAGAAGAACAATGATATAATGTTTATTCTAGTCTGAGTTTTTGATAGACAGAAGTAGAAAAATCATGTTTCTATGGAAGCGAAGTAAAAAAGAAGCAAGCGAATTGTGTATTGTACTTTTCTTCTATCGACAATAGTTTTTGTGAATTGTTTTTGAAATTCATTGAAATTAAAGCATATATTTCAGAGATCAACAGAAAAAGGAAACTGAAATATGACAATCAGAGGTTTGTAGAGAATAGAATAAGGTTTTCTATCCTGTCGTGTTGTCTGACTGAACTTTGACAAGCAACTAGACAGAACATTATTTGTAGCTTCGCCGTGTTGACTTTTGATAAAATCTTTAATTATAACTAACACTAGAAATTCAAAAGTATATAAATATCTTGAGTAAGTCATCAGTTTAATGATGTAATCATCGCGAGAAATAAATATATAAAAAATAAGAACTACTCTGATTTTACCATCATTATCTCAACACAAAGTAAACCCTATCAATAAAGCGAATAGAATAAGGATTTTATATTGTCCTAATCAATAAAATATTGTTCAACTATTGAGAATTAAGACTAGTTCTTCCTTCTTGTATAATTAAACTGGCTCCTGAGAACAGTCTATCTCTACTGGCTGATGCTGCACAAGTTGAGTTAACAGATCGGACATATCAAGACAAATAGGGAAAGTTTGTCTTGATGATTCTTCCAAAATGGCAAAAGCATTGTGTTCTAGTTTTGATTTCTCAAGTTCTAAATTATTTCTTCTTCAACAGCAAAAATACTTGATTCAAATTGACTGAATAGATCTGTTTAGAAGTTCTTATGTAATGATTTGTCATTTTGTTGTTGATATGAGTCAGAGATTAGCAGAGGATATTTTTTCCTGTCCTTTCTTGATATCTTATTCCGTCGTGTCGAGCGATAGGACAAAACCAAAATTTTAACATGATTCTGTTCAGTGGGATAGGACAAGGTAGAACATCAGCACCAACCTGTTTTATATCCAATTCTGATGACACTATCGGTTACCGTCTGATTCGACCTTTGATAACACTTAAGTGTCATAAGGAGTGTACTTCTTCGGCATTTGATTTTGTTAACCAAAACATTTTGTGTATATTGTCTTGTAAATTGTTCTTTTTGGATTTTCATTATAGTATACTGTACAGAAACAAATGAAAGGTACTAGAGATTGTTTTAAGTGTAAAGTCGTATGCATAAAACTACTATTCCTGAGAAAACACTGATTTCGAATGGAATCAATTGGATGTTTGACGAGGAAAGGTTCCATCACAAATTTCATAGCTTTGAATTAACATTTTAAAATATAAGTTGATAACTGTACATATAGATTAGGAGAATCAGTACGAATTCCTGTTGTTTTAAACGTTTTCAATGGGAAAAAAATACATTTCGACTTTTTTATATGAATTAACTTCTTAGGTTGCTTACAACAAGAGTTCCATTTCAATGATAAAGGTCATCAACTTTTTCGATATCATGCATTGTTAATTAAAATTGAATTTTTCATATGAATGCAAATTTGATGATGAAGATCAGATTCTCAATGTCGATGACATTTATATGACTATAGATCAAATAGCACATGTCTTGTCTGCGTTTTATTAATCTTTGTACTTAAAAAAAAGAAAGTTTGATATTAAAATGGAAACGGTGTACAAACTATATACTGGGTTTGTATAGAACAAAATCGATGATATAACATGATGGAAAAAAAACATCAACTGATTGTGTGTAATCATGATGAGACTTAATAACATCATAGAACTTGATATCTGGACAAAAGAATGTTGTTTTCGGCTGAAACATTTAGACTATTCTACAAATCACTTGATCTATATATGCGTCAAATGTCACGTAGATATTCTACTCGTTGGTTTTTCGATATGTATTGCAAATTGGATCGAAAAAATAGTGAAGTTATCCTAAATTAAATTCCAAGACTCATAGGGACGAACTGTTTTTTCAGGCTTTCTCTAGTCTTACTGAGGCCTTCTTGTGGTCTCTATTTGAGCTTAAAAAGTGAGTATCAAGGTGGATAGATCCTTCGTGAGGAAAGTTAATAATGATATTTCACTTTATTATTGATATAAAAGAACAGTCAATGTAGAACAAAATAAGAAGCATCAAGTCTATTATCTTCATATTATCTTGGAAAGAATATTCATGAAATTTAGGCAACATTCAAAATTATTTTGAAATAGTTCAATTCTGACCCATCTTTAAATAGGTTTGAACGCCGAAGTATTTATTCTTCGTTTATCACAATTAATTAGTTTAGACTTCCTATTAAATGTTCTTAGAATCCTATGTCTTGCTCTGAACTATTAATACAAAAAAACTGCAATTAGTTAAAGAAGATAATGTAATAAAATGACAATTCTACATATAGTGTTTTTTATGAATGTTTAAAACTATATTTAAGTGTCTGCTAATAGACATGCATTAGATGTTGAAAATAATGACAGTACCAGAGGCAATGCAAATAGTGGAGCCATATTAATTGATTGACGTAATGAAAGTAACGGATATATAGGACGTGACGGAAATTATGAAGATTTGGAAAATAGTTTAGGGCAGAGGCGGAAATCTAGCTCATTGAAGTAATGAAGATAAAAAAAGGTAATTAAAAAAGAACTTATTAAAACAAAATGGAGATCTAGAACATAATAGGTATATTTGGTGCATGCAGACACTATTGCTTTTTCATATAGTAAGAGTACATAAAAAAGTTCTACAAGTCTATCGACGAAAGTGCATCATCTAAATTACTAACAAAACTGAGCAGCTAACAAGACAGATCAAAAATTTCAAAAATGTTTCAAGAAACTCATCGAGAATGGTATCGGATCCATTTTCTTCTATAACTTGCTGAGCTCGATTAATTGTAATATTTCCATTACATCCATCAGTTTCTACATCTGCATTACATCAGGTACTATTATTACGTAAAAATGATGTATGTTTTCTCTATCATCTTGTAGATTTTCATTATCACCATTATGTCTAATGTCTTCAGTACTTCCATGATCTCCTTTATATCCCATAGCAGTCTCGAGCAATATTCTAAAACTCATTGAAATTTGTTCCAAAATTCAAAGAAATTTTCTAAAAGGACATAAGAAGCATCTAATTTAGTTCAATTCTGATAATTAATACAAGGAAAAAGACCAAGTTTCCGATAGAAAAAGGGTGGGTGTGTGGGTTTGTGGTATGGGTGTTGGTGAGTGTCGGTGGATCTGTGGTGTGGATGTTGGTGAGTGTGGGTGGGTCTGTTTGAAGCGTGGGTACACTGTAAAAAAAAGTATTTTACCGAACCCTCGAAAAAGGTTCTGCAGATTTGAAAAAGCTTGGAAATACATTCAAATGCTTAAAAAACGATTCTTCAGTTCTACGAAATCTTTAAAGATTCTTCCCCTGGATACATGGGAAGAACCTTCTCCTGTGAAACCTTTTTTAAGTTCCGTACAATAGAAAAAAGTTTCGTAAAACAATACGAAACCTTTAAAGTTTCCTATTAAATTTTAATGGCTTTTTACTAAACACTAATGGTTTCGTAATAAGCCATTAAAATTTAATACGAAACTTTAAAGGTTTCGTATTTTTTTACGAAACTTTTTTCTGCTCTACGGAACTTAAAAAAGGGTTTCGCAGGAGAAGGTTCTTCCCGTGTATCCAGGGGAAGAACATTTAAAGGTTTCGTAGAACTGAAGAATCGTTTTTTAAGCATTTGAATGTATTTGCAAGCGTTTTCAAATCTTCGGAACCTTTCTCGGGGTTTCGGTAAAATACCTTTTTCTTTTTACAGTGTAGGTCTTGGTGTAGATGTCGGTGTGGATCTTTTCTTCACTCTCATTCACAGCTACACCCTTGGTCAAAGTTCGAGAAAGTGTGAAAGAACTGCGCTTTGATAATTTCTTGCATCTGCATTCAAGAATGTCTAATGGATGTTTTTCATCATCACTTCCTTGCTTTTGATGCACCTTCATCATCAAGAACAAACCGAAAGAAAAATGCATCAAAACTATTCTTACTTTTCCTTTCTTTGACGTCTACTTTCCGCGAAAGAGAAATAAGAGAGCCCATGCATCTGAATGACGCTTATGTATTTATTTGACACATTTGTATTTCGATTCCGTTTGCGACAAAATACAAATAAAAGAATATGTGTAGATGAATGGGACATATGGAATCAGTTAGGATGTGAGTATGAGTGCAGTTGTGAGTGTAGGTATGGAATTATGATTCCATTTCATTCAAACACTAATAGCCATACCCACACCCCACATCTGGGCCTATCATAAGAGCTTCCTTAAAACTAGAGTGTGGGTGTGAGTGTGCGTCCTAATGTTCTCATATCTCACAAGAACACCCATACCCACACCCACACCCACACCCACACTCTGATATTTCTAATAGAATCTAAAATAGCAGAAATACAAAGAAACACAAAAACGTTTTTTTAGTAGTACATAAATACATGAGATATATTTGTTGTGTTTTNTGTTTGTTTTTCGTTTTTTTGTTCCGTCTTATGATCGAAGGGTAACACTTTGATCGTAACAGTATTATTCTTTTTTTCACACCCACACCCCACACCCACACCCACACCCACACCCCACACCCACACCCACACCCACACCCACACCCCACACCCACACCCACACCCACCCTCAAGGAACTTGTGACACAGTCTATTTCACGGTACTTCAAGTTGATTAAGAACTCAAAAACTTTACTGAAATTTATCTAATAGATTGAAAATTTTTACTTTTAAACTGTTAAAACAAAATAATTTTAAACTTATAAAGCAGAATCGAAAAGTCTAAAAATAATATATCCTGACATCGATTTTATAGTTTCAGTTTGATGTCTACTTTTATTTCTTTTTAAGTCACTATACTCTTATGACCAACGAGCAAAATACTAAAATTTTGTCACATTCGAAAAGATATCAAATAGGATGTGGGTGTTAGTATTCATCTTAGGAATACCAACGACCACACCCATCCATATAAAAGATGAATATGATTCATATATATTGAATTTATTGGAAATTGAAATATAGAATCACAATTCTTAATAAAATCATTAATTAAATTATTTGAAAATAATGTTTCAGATAATATTCCATGAATTGCTTTAATTAGCTGAGTAAGATACATCATTCCTATTAAACAATTATTTGATAAATAACTTTGATTTGATAATGATTGTATTAATAAAACATGATGTCGATTATGACATTTATCAAACGTTTGTACACATTGTCTATCTCCACATGAAAAATCAAACCTATTTGTTCGACATAAATGTTCTTCACAACGACATATTGGATCTCGATAACAATTATTTGGATATAAAACATCAGCAAATTCATCAGATCGATCAAGATAATTAGCATCACCAAAATCATTTTCCCAAAATTCTTCTGATGTACATAAACCATTGTGACATCGATATTCATTATCTTTACATACATGTATTTCCGTATCAAAACAATATGCTTCATCTAAACCTTCATCAATATAATCAATACGTCCATTACATACTGCACGCCGATCAAGACATACATTTTTTTTTCACCACGATCACATTTTATATGAATATAACATGGTAATTCTATAAACATATTTGATAATTCAATTAAAGGATTTTTTTGCATTAAATTCATTTTCAACAATATCAATTATTGACATTTTAAACCAAGCCATGGTTTTGAACAATTATAAAATAATTTATTAGATAAAGATAAATCTATTTCATCTAAATATAATTGATATTTTTCAATCAAATCAATTGGAGTTGACCATGATATTAATTCTTCTATAGTCATATTTGAAATACGTAATTCTTTAAATGTAACATATTGATCTTGTCTATTAACAAAATTTTGAAATAAACTTTCATTAATATTTATTGGTCGAAAACAATATGGAATTAACTCGTCGATTACATTTGATAATTCTTGATAAGCTACTTTTTCTTTAGTTGCACGATAATATAGGCAATCAAATTGTAGAATACTACCATTAATCAATTCATTTGTATCATGAAGAATCAATTGTTTATATATTATCAAGAGAAAAACTATCTTCCCCTTCGCAACAATTTTAAATGTTCTATAGAAACTATGAATAAGTAAAATATTCAATGAAAGAACAAGAAATCATTTGATATCTTCTATAGATTATTGACAATTGAATAGATTTCACGTCTAAAAACGGATGCCAAATCTTTTGAAGGTTATTGTTCTTTGTGATACAATAAGTCAACAACAATGACTATCATATTCGAATAGGTTTTTTTTGTGTTTCTATCAACAAAAGAATTAATTGTGATAACAGTAATACTTTTCAATGACTTTCTATTCTAGAATGCGATAGTTGATTACCGCATTTTTTACAAGATTATTATGACATTCTCCATACGTGCCATATATAGATCAATTGTTAGTCAAATATTGAATTCACTAGTTATCTCATAAATGAAGATGTCAATTCATACTATAATTCTAAATGAATAGGCACACATTCTTTTCGCTCTTCCAATAAATATCTCTCTTGCGCTTCATTACGAAACATATTCACACAATCAGATTTAATCTCTTGAAAAAATTGCAAATTATAAGATCTGAACGTATCGTTTTTTTGTTTTCAGTAATACAGATAATTCAACTGTTAGCAGAATAAAATCATATATGTAAATTTGGAAGAAAAATAATACAAAATTTTATGATCGATATCTTTTCTAATCTATATTAAAATTAAATTATTGGTACTCTGCATAAATAAGAAGTCAAAATATCTTAATTTAAACATAGAAATAGAAGAAAGATACAGAAAAATGAATAAATAATTATCATAATAATGAATTTTTAACTCAACATATCACTTATATTGTTAGTTTCCAAGGATTGAAGGGCCATGATTGTTTATCATAGTAATATGAGAAATCGGCGACTTTGCTAAAAACTTTTCTCAGAGAATATCAAAATGTAAACGTGGACTTGAATGTGAACATTATCTTGAATTGTTTCCACTAGAGTGAAAGCTTTCATCTAGTAAAGTTTCTAAAACTTGCAACTATTGTTTGAAAACTAAAAAAAATCATTATCTTTGATGAATAAGCGATAGAGTTTTTATTAGATGATCTATTTAGATAAATGACAAATTCTTTAATAATATCAATACTCACACCAAAAATTAAAACAGTATGGAACCTACACTGAAAGAAAAAAAGGTACCGTACCGAACTTCAAAAGGTTTCGAATTTTGGAACAAATTCTAAACCTTTTTAAGTTTCGTACGAAACTGGTTCGGTATGAAACTTGTTTGAAAAACCATAAAAATGGCTTCGCACATACAGTTCTGCAGCACTACTATCATGGAACCCAGTCCCTCAAGTTATGACACTATGGTTGCATGAGTCTCATCACGAACGCTTCCATAGTATCCCATATTCAATCTAATCCCCAACCGTCCTGCTCAGCTTCAGGTAAGAAGNATGCCTTTTTGAATGGGTTTTATGAAATAGGAACTAATTTTAGGATTAGAGATCGTTATTACCTTAAACTTGTTTATGTTGGAGTACTCGATATGGTTCTTTCGATGTAGTTATTTATCTCGAGTACTTCAAATTTCGATAGCTATCGACGGATCTGTAACTACCCGACAAGTCGATCACGTCTTTTGGATAGGATGATTTTCGATTACTCAAAATCCGATGGTTTCTGATGTATTAGAAACCGAAACAGAACGGACAAAATATATATATGACATTTTCGAGGGCTCATCGTGATCATCGCATGATTTTTTTGTCTGCTTGGGTAGGTCATAAAAATGTGGTATATGATGAGTATGAAGTAGTTTTAAGAGAGCACCGTTTACTGATACTCAGAATACGCGATCGATTCTCTTGGTTGTAAAATATCGTATGCATATTTTTCAACGCGACTACCAAACATGACAGACACGACTTTTACTTTTAGAAACACTCGTTCTGTTCTACGCACTGATCACGACAGGGTTAGAGAGACAAAACGAGTCATAGATGTCGAAGTTCAAGGACACTCTGGACTAATGCAAACGTAGCCACAGATCTTTTATTGACGCGATAACAAGTTAGAACAGGTATTTTCGATATTTCAGTCTAGTCATACCGTTCATCTTTAGCAACTATTGGTTTCCTAAACCATTCTCGCTTACTTCTAGCCTGATGTATAGAGACTTGACTCATCCGTTACTGTGGCTTTGTCAGTAACACTTCTAAAAGAAAAATGGTCGAGACAGTAGAGATCTGTGCATGGTATAATCACAACTCAGACAAGGAACGATGCTAACCTAAAACAGTTTAACAATAATAATTACAGGAGGACTTCGTTTCACTAATTCCATTCATCGATTCAAGCATTATGAGCAAGCAAAAGTCGACAACAACTATTATCAGTGATGCAGCAGCAACATCTAGTACCACCGCTATTACCAACGCGAACAATCATGCTGCTATGCTGCCGCGACCTATGCGTCGTCTGCTTCAAAACTGGCTGTTGGTATGGCTGGATACCAGTTTCGATGAATTCAAAGACGAGTATAAAAAATCAATGGAACATATACGTGATATTTTAGCATCAGCCATTATATTTACAGACGTTGACGAATGTGTCGCTTTTCTCAGTGACGTTGAAAATCAAAAAGTGTTCATGATTTTGTCGGATGCGGTAGGACAAAATAGAATACCACAAATTCAAGAATGTTCACACTTAATCTCTATTTATATTTTATGTGGCAATCAATCGAGTCATCAAGAATGGACCAAAGTAGTACCTAAGGTAAAAGGCGTGTACACACAAATTGAACCGATCTGTGATGCTTTACGAATCGATCATGAAATTTGTGATCGAGCTATGATACCGATTAGTTTTAACCGTATTGACCCATTATTCATGTATACACAATTGTTGAAAGAAGCACTTTTGGATATAGAAGATGATGATGCAAAATGTATTAAAGAATTCGCTGAATACTGTCGTCTTGAAGGCGATACTTCCGAAAAAACACTTGAAAAGATCGAAAAAGAATATTGTAGTCATTCAGCCATTTGGTGGTATACGGGTCCATATTTTATCTACTCAATGCTCAATTGTGGCCTTCGACGAATGGATGTCGACATCATTCTTAAAATGGGTTTTTTCATCCGACATCTACATAATCATATTGCAGAATTACATCGTCAACAACAAGATAGTGTGCAAACAAACTTTCAAGTTTTTCGTGGACAAGGTTTATCCATAGAGGACTTTGATAAAATGAAAAAAACCAAAGGAGGACTTATGTCCTTCAATAATTTCCTGTCAACGAGTCGTAATCGCGACATTTCTCTGAACAACTTTGCACAAATAGCTTTAATGAATCAAAATTCAGTAGGCATTCTCTTCATTATGAATATTGACACAGCTATTTGCACACAATCATCAACACCATTTGCCGAACTGAGCGAGAGTAGCTACTTCAAAAATCAAGAGGAAGAAATACTCTTCTCAACACATACAATTTTTCGTATTGATAGCATTGAACGAATCGAAGACGACAGTACTGATCGCTTGTGGCAAGTTCATCTCACTATCGTTGGTAATCAAGATGATGACTTCAACAAACTCACAGCACATCTACGAGAAGAATGCATGTGGGCAACAGGATGGGCTCGATTCGCTCATATACTTATTCAACTTGGTGAGCCTGCAAAAGCAGAACATCTCTATCAGATGCTCCTCGAAAACGCCACTTCCGATAAACAACGATCAGATTATAATCTTCAGCTTGGTGCAGCATATCAAAACATGGGCGAGTACTCAAAAGCACTTTCATCTTACGAGCGATCTCTTGAAATCAATAAAATAGCTCTCCCTCCGAACCATTCCGAATTGGCTACGTGTTACAACAATATCGGTGGAGTGTATTATAGAATGGGCGAGATCCAGAAAGCACTTTTATTTTTCGAACAAGCACTTCAAATCCAGAAAATAGCTCTCCCTGCAAATCATCCCTCTTTAGCTTCTTGCTACAGCAACATTGGCACTGTGTATGCCAACATGGACGAGTACCCGAAAGCGCTTTTGTCGTACGAACAATCACTAGAAATCCGAGCAATAGCTCTTCCGCCGAATCATCCTGACTTGGCTATGTCCTACAACAATATTGGTAATGTATATGTTAACATGGGCCAGTACTCGAAAGCACTTTCCTCATACCAGCAAGCATTTGAAATCCGAGCAATAGCTCTTCCGCCGAATCATCCTGACTTGGCTGGTTCGTACAACAACATCGGTTTGGTGTATTGTGACATGGGCGAGTACTCGAAAGCACTTTCAATGTACGAGCGATCACTGGAAATCCAGAAAATAGCTCTCCCTTCCAATCATCCCTTGTCAGCTACTTCCTACAACAACATCGGTAAAGTGTATGATAAAATCGGCAAGCTTTCTGAAGCACTTTCATCGTATGAACGAGCATTTGAAATCGACAAAGCAACTCTCCCTCCGAATCATCCGCATTTGGCTAATTACTATAACAAGATTGGTATGTTGCATACAAAAATGGGTGACTACGCCAAAGCACTTTCATCTTACGAACAATCACTTGAAATTCATAAAATAGCTCTTCCTCTAAATCATCCCGACTTGGCTGCCTCCTACAACAACATCGGTGTAGTATATTTCAACATGGGCGAGTATCCGAAAGCACTTTCATTGTACGAACGATCACTAGAAATTCGAGCAATAGCTCTCCCTTCGAATCATCCCAGCTTGGCTGCTTCCTACGACAACATCGGCAGAGTTTATGATAAAGTCGGCGAGCTCTCTGAAGCACTTTCATCATACGAGCGAGCACTTGAAATCAAGAAGATAACTCTTCCTTTGAATCATCCCGACTTGACTAAGTCCTACGGTAACATTGGTATAGTATATGAGAAGATGGGAGAATACTCAAAAGCGCTTTCATTTCTCGAACTAACACACGATATCTTCAAACAAAGTCTCCCTCCAACGCATCCCGATGTTGTAAAATCACAAAGAGATATTGAAAATCTAAAGAAAAAACTTTGATTTTTATTTTAACCAAGAAAATAATTTATTTTATTTTATTTATAGACCCTTACCGTCTCCGGTGTAGGGTGAGAAACATAATACAATGAACAAACACATAATTATATTAACAAACAGGTTAAAAAAGGGAGAAAAGGAAAGGGGAAAAAATAGTATTTTGTCTTTGCACGATGAGAGCCACGTAAATCGCCATTAGCATTGAATTGAGACATCCATCAGTCTATGATCCTCTGATGACATCAGTTTAGATAATATCCATCATACCATTCATAGTTCGACACTAACGGGTGCTATACAACCAACTTTGCCATATTGTTAATTGATATTGTTATTCTTGCGCTACGCCTTTGCTTTGTCACACGATTTTATATGATTTGTGATACCTTGCGAATTGAAGTTCTTCCTGCATCCTGGGCACTTGTATTTATTGTTTTCCTCGACTAGTATTTCTGTAACTTTTCGTTTGATTACGCCTGTTGGTGTAGCTTGCTCAACTTTTCTTCTTTGAGCTGCACGTTGTTTATAGTCATGAACAATGCTTTTAACATTTTTGTTTACTGAGTTGACATGCACGTTTCTATTAATTGTTTCGCGCCAACGGCTTCTGTCTAGAGTCATTTTTCTCCAGTTTCCAATGTTTAACTCTTCGATATCTTTTAAAACACTGTCCTCTCATCGTTTACTTCTTCCCATATTACTAGGCCGTTTCTCACCATGAAAATATCCAAACATGGTTTTCTTTGTCAGTGATGGGCAACCATCTTGGTTGACAGCCATATTCACGTGCCCAAACCACCTCAATCTATTCCTACGTATGATGTTTTCGATCGTTGGCTGTCCTGTAATGTCCAACAGAGTTTCATTTGATATTCGATCACCAAGGTTTACGCCGATAATCGTGCGTAAGCATCTGTTATAGAAACTGGCGATTCTTTGTTCTTGTTTCATCGTGAGAACCCAAGTTTCGCTGCCATGCAGTAACACCGGCAGTATACATGCTCTAAAGATTCGAAGTCTTACAGTGATTGAAACTGACTTTCTATGCCATATTGCATGGTGTAACATGTTGAAAGCTTTAGAAGCTTTTATGAGCCGTGCTGAGAGCTCTGTATCTTGTCGTTGATCATTCGTGATGATACAACCTAAGTATGTGAATGAGTCAGCTGTTTCAATTTTTTGGTTTCTTATGTTTATATCTATATCAGTAGAGTTGACATTTTGTCCTTTCAACACTTTTCTATGCTGATCTTCTTTTCGCTGTTGTAGTGACATCAAGCAGGTTTTCTTTATGCTCATGGTTAAACCAAATTGTTGCGTCACTTTTTCAAAAGATTTAATAAATTTCTCTAGATCAGTAGCGGTTTCACACATTACAACTAGGTCGTCTGCATATAAGAGGGTGTGGGTGTGGGTGTGTGGATGTGGGTGTGGGTGTGTGGGTGTGGGTGTGGGTGTGGGTGTGGGTGTGGGTGTGGGTGTGGATGTGGGTGTCTCTTTTCTTCATCAACATCCACACCCACACCCACACCCGCAAAATTTCTACCCTATACACTTCAACACTTCTTTTAGATCGTGTTTCACAAAATGGCTATTGATCATGTTGAAACCAAGTAGTTTCTATGACATTAATGGGTGATGATCAACACCGAGAGATACTAGAGACTCGTCCATCTCGTCGTTATAGAAAATTGTGTACTGAATAATATCTCATTAGCATTGATATATCAACAATTATTGTTATTATTTTAATTCTATACTTATTTATTAAAAGAATGAAAGATGCACAATCGTTTAAAAATCGCGCTAATCATTTAATTTATTGTATTGTATTAAAAAAAACTTTAATCATTGTATATATTCTTTTAAATTTAATAAATATGTAATAATTCTAACAGAAAATTTATTCTTATGAAATGCTATTAATTCTAAATAATATAATCAAAGAATAATAAAGCATAATGAGAAATATTTAATTTATAATCATACATGTACAATAAAATGAACTGAATTTGCAGGTTTTTTAAGATTATCTTGAAGTTTTTTTTTATTAAAAACTGATAAAAAGATTGTTAAGATGATAGTAAAATCAAGCTTCGGCTTTCTTTTCAAGCCGAAAGGAAATGATCACAATTGAAACTAAAAAATTAGTTTATCTTTATCAACAAAAGCAAGTATGAAAGAAGTTGAAAATCTTGATAAGACTCCTTCTCTCTTCGGCCATAACTAA